GTCTTTAACTGCACTACAGAAATCTGCTTGTGCGTCGACCGTCACTGTTTGATCTCGAGCTTGTCAGGTGACGAAAATTTGGCGGCAAATGTAAATACGTCATATAATTATTTATATATAAATACAAATAACAACACAACACAAAGCAGCACATAAACAAACACCATAAAACAAAGTAAATAGAGACAGTATGACACGAGTATGCAAATAAATTATCCTTAAGGCAAACCCTAAAATATTGCACATTCCCTAAATCAAATACAATTTATTGCAATTCCCTAAGCCTATGTGCAGTTTTAGTTATAATTATTGCACATTCCCTTAGCCTATGTGCAGATTTAATTATTGCACATTCCTTAAGCCTATGTGTAGCTTTAATTGCACATTCCCTACACCTGTGTGCAGTTTTAGATATAATTATTGCACATTCCCTACACCTATGTGCAGTTTTGATTGCACAATCCCTAAGCCTTTTATAATTATTTTTTTGACTGCATTATCTGAGTTAAGCAGTTTAACAGCTAGTGGCAAAAAGAATGTTTGAATCTGTTCAGTTTACAGTTATAATTATTTATACATAAATATAAATATCATTTCAATAGAAAAAATCCATAAAATACAGGATGCAGACGTGTTATTATTGGGCAAAAAGTAATAAAAAAAAATAGGGCATGACAACTTTTGAGGATTGTCTCATAGGACCAGTTCAGGTGAAGAGGAAAATTACTGATAAAATATTTGGCATGTTTTTGTTGATTATCTTTGCTTGAAAAAATGTCTATTCATGAGAGTGTGACGCCGAGCAGGAGCAGACTGGATTGTTACATCATTTAGAATCCATCTAAAAAAGGCTGCAAATGTTCAAAAAGCAGCAAGGAGGGAGTGTTTTCTTTTTCTTCTTCTTTAAAAAGTCAATTTCTTTGAACATTGTTTGTGCCTCTTTTAGTGGCTGCACACACTTTTTTCCATGTTTTTGAGCGATACTTGTTTTTCCCCAGTGCAGAAATAATAAAGATTATATAAGCAGCTCTCACGGTAGAAAAGAGACCGCTGTAATTATAAAGTGATTTAGCCGACAGAAATCAGGAAGCGCACGGTTAGCATGCTATTGTTTGTTAGTATCACCATTAGGGATGTAACAATAACCGAAATATCGTGATATCGTACCGACAAAGTTCTCACAATATATCGAATGGCAAGTCTCTTTGATTAAATTAAGAGTTATGGTGCAGCAATAAAGGGAACTACATAGACCATGATCCTTTGCTCCATTTCAGTGCAGACTACAAGAAGAAATAACAGTTCTAAGCACTTTTAAGTCTTTGGATTAAGTCTTGTCAAGGCATTTTAAGAGGAAAAAGTCACATATTTATAGTTTTGTTAGTCTCCACAAAATATCGCAATAAATATCGTACCGTGAGATGTATATCGTGAAAATATCGTACCGAGAAATTTGGATATTGTTACATCGTCATACAATCGTGAGCCTCCCCGCCATATCGTGAGCTTTCCCACGATATCGCAATAAATCTCGTACCGTGAGGTTCATACTGTGACGATATCGTATCTACCATCATATCAAACATCTGCTCTTTTTAGTTTTTTTTTAATTTTTTTTAGCTTTATTTATTTAAAAGGGACAATGCATATTCATGAACATATACTTGTAAATATGCCAGAATTAGCCCAAAGACTACTTTTCATCTGTAGTCCCTGGCAGGTCAGAGAGATAGAGACATAAAACATATAACATAAGAACATAAAATGCGTCACAATAGACAAACACACAATCATGACATACAACACTGACATTTACATAGGAGCTCTGGCTTCTGAACATCGTGAAAAGCGTTTATAAACTCATCACTGTGAATAATTAGATGCTTCAGAGCGCTTTAGGTAAGTGAGGATTAACTTTGGACCACTGCAAACTGTTTAAAACGAACTAGTGTTGGTTTTCACATTTTAAAAACAGTAATAATCAGGTAGAGCGCGTTTAGGCAAGGCAAGTTTATTTGTATAGCACAATTTGTACACAAAGTGCTTTACAGAATAAGAAATACAGTAAAATTGCAATAAAAACTAATCAAAACATAAATAATCATCATAAAATTCAAGATAAAATGTTTAAAAAGACAGAGACATTAATTACATAAATTAGAGAGAAGAGTGCGGAATGAAAACCTTTCAGTCACATGCACAGTTAAACAGAACAGTTTTGAGTCTGGATTTAAACAGCGTCAAAGAAGAGTCTGTCTCACATGTTCATGAAGACTGTTCCAGGTTTTAGCTGCGTGAACCTGAAACTCTGACTCCCCTTGTTTAGTCGTGACTCTGGGCACCAGCAGGAGGCCGGTCCCTGAGCTCTTCAGAGTGCGAGATGGTTCATATGACACTAACATGTCACAGGCAAGGCGAAGGCGTGCACACGAGCAACAAAACACAAAGCAGAACAGGAACAACTCAAATCGGCCGTTTCTGACCACTGTAAAAGAGAGAACCACGTTATGGATTGGGACGGAGCAAACATCATTGGGACAGAGGAAAACAAACATCGCCGCTGGATTAAAGAAGCAATCGAAATACGGAAACGTGCCCGCGGGACTGTAAACCGGGACGAGGGGGCTTTTTTACTCTCACACACCTGGGATACTGTCCTGAGGAAGTCGGACTGCAGGTGGCGCTGTCGTCCTGCCTCCACCGGTAGGAAAACAGCTCCAAAACCTGTTTAAAATCAGCTGACCGGACACGTCACAGCAACATCACGTGACTCTGAGGAAGACGCTAGTGAGCAGTCGAAACTGTCAGGTATGAAATAACACTCTGGGTCTAAAAAAAACACCTAATAACATAGAATATCGGAAGACCAAACATGTCACAGACTTTGGTGCTCGGCCGTGGAGAGACTTGTACATGAGCAGAGCCGTTTTAAAGTCTCTGAGCCACAGGGGGCAGTGCAGAGACCTGAGCACAGGACTTATGTGCTCGTACTTCCTAGAGACCGTTACATTTGTCTAACCTACTGGAGACAAACGCATGGATAAATCTCTCCAAATCTGCTCGAGATAGTAAAACCTTTGAGTTTTGCTATGTTTAGTGTGTTTCAAATTGCTTTCGAACCAGAGTTATCACGTCTTAGGGTAATTGTTTTTGCGACGTGTGTTCTGTAAAAGTGTGATTTGTGTGTACGCTGTAGTCCACTTGCCCAACAAATCTTGATCTCAGTGGGTCTGACACTAACCTGATTCAATAAAGGTTAATAAATGCATTTACATTTTCAGAAACTGGTACAAATGAGGTTCTATCTTTTAGTCATTCTGAAATTGTTTTTAATTTAAGTTATATCAGACCTGGGCATTCTGCAGCTCCTGGACCACATACGACTCTCTGGTTGACTCTGACCGGTCCGTTTAAACTCATTTGGAATTACAAAATAAACACATTTTATAATTTTACCTCATGCATGGACTAAAGCTGCATTACTTTTATTTTAGAGGTGTTTTTTTAATGAAATATTTTGTAAGACAACCTCACTTTTTCATTGTTTAGTCATAACATAAACACTCTTACCAGTACGGCTGAGTATCATTAAGAAGTTGCCGATACGATACATACCTCGATACAGTGAGCTTTCGATTCGATAGGATTCAATAAAAAGTAAAGTCTAAACCCTGGCTGTGATACTAAAAGTCTTTGTTAAACCATTTATTTTGCAACGTTAATATAAAACACGCCCATTTTAAATCATCAAAACAGTGAAAATGTCAAATGTGACGCATAAATGAGTTTCCTTCCTCTGAATAAGCAGCAAAACTGTAGCGCTGTAACAAAATAGTTCAGTAAAATATACCAAAAAGTAGTCTTGGCGATGTATCGATACAGCAGCCCGCGATATCGATACCGTAACAGCACATTAAACGATTTAGGATGCGAGATGGTGCCAGTGTGTTTGACCTGCTGTCTGTCTCTATCAGCATTATTCTGTATTTTGTTGTTTATTGTTGTTTCTTATTGTTGACTATCTTATTGTTTTCTAGGTTTTTAGTAGTTGTATTGTGTTTGTATTGTGTATTTTGTTGTACTGCGATTGTCCTTGTCTATTCTGTGTTTGTGTGCAGCACTTTGGTCAGTTTTTAAAGTGCTTTATAAAGTTGGTATGATGTGATACGATATATAAATATTTCGATATTTTTGCACACCCTTAGTTACCACTTTTACCAGCTCGTCATAACAATACTATTTACTGCTCTTTAACAATTAATATTATGCAGAATTGAGTAATCATTTGGACTGACCCTTCACAATATTTTCTGTTTTTCACGTGGCCCCATGGAAAAAAATTTATTCCCCACTTCTGGGTTATTGAATTTATATGGGGCAACAACACAAAGTGAGTGGGTTGGCTGGTATTTATTCGTAAAAAAAAGGCAAATTAAACTCATGATTTGTATAAATAGTAGTTTTTTGCGCGAACTCCCCCTGCTGGTGGAGTCTTGTAAGTGCAGTTTTGGGGTCAGATACAGAGAGATATATGTGAAAGTTTGGAGAGTTTTTCCCACACCCCCTTTTTACGACATGTCTTTAGTCGATCAAGAATTTATTTAGTCGAATAATGAATTAATAAATCATCATTCCATGGGTGTGTGCTGCTAACTGTAGGCACTGCTGTGTCTGAAGCTCGGTTACTTAAATCATGAATTAGACATGAAAATGCATTGTTTAAATCAATTTTTCTGCACTTTTTTTTTTTTTTTAATAATTTGTCACATCCACAATAAGACAGACTTAACTAAACACGCATACACATATTATTATTATTATTATCACTTTTTTTTTAAACTTAAACTTTTTGGCTGTGTTTGATAATTGTGTATTGTGTCACCATGGAAACGTCTAAACAATCCACCATCCACACACATGTGGAACACTCCCAGCACGGTGTTGTTTGTTGTTTCAGTGTGTATCCTGACGGTGCGTCGTTGTTGTTGTTGCCGTTGCAGGTTGTTCAGCGCGATCTTGGAGCAGGCGACGAAGGGGGACGGGGCCACTCCCATCGGGGGGAAGGCTGCAGGCTTCGACGTCAAAGCCCTCCGAGCGTTCAGAGTCCTGCGCCCGCTACGCCTCGTCTCCGGAGTACCCAGTGAGTGCCGTCGGAATACTCGGGGAAAAACATTGGATCGCAATCTTTCAACTGGCAAATTTTTAGATGTCACTGAAACTTAGATAGAGCGAGTGCACTGTTGTTTTGAAGATAAGAGTTCAGTTTGCAGATGGTACTTAGTGAGTATCAACGGAATATTTTCAGAAGATATCAGATTACAATTTTTCAACTCTTGTCACTATACAAAAGACAACAAAACTTAGATAGAGCAAGTGCACTATTGTTTTTGAAGAGGGTTCAGTTTGCAGTACATTTTAAACCTTTAGAAACATTCAAAATTGGGAGAAGATTGAAATTTGACCAATAACTAAAACAAGAAACATGTTTGTACAGGTGGATTTTAACCCTCTCAGGCTCAAATTAAGTTTTAGTAACAGGAAAAATCTGGTATTTGGGGAAAATTTTCATATGGGGTAGTAATATACAATATCCTGACTTATATATATATATATGTATATCTGCCTATACAATATATATACCTATACAATACAAAATATATACCTATACAATATCCTGACTTTTTTTTTGAGAGAGACCTTCACATCCAGTGCGTCCTGGGATGTTTCAGATTTGCAACATTGGTCCGGTCTGGTAAATTAACACTGAAGACTGAAAATGATATGAACGCTAACTTTATGTGTAAACCACTTTTCACAACAATGAAAACAAAAAGTACAGTGTAACAGCTTTACAGTGGCAGAACAACAATCAAAACAACTTGGTACAGATCACTTTTTCGTGTGGTATTCCAAGAAACAATTTTTATCCTTTGTAAAACTCAAAAGTACTTTGCACTTCTGGCAGGCCGTTCATGTGTAGTTATTCTTTCACAGTCTGCATCGTCCACGTTTATCAGCATGGATGGGAAAAAAGGCTCCTGAGTAAAAAAAAGCTCATAAAATATGGATGTGGAGTAAGTAGGTAATTAGCTGTTGCAAATCTGCAACGCCTGCCTGGAGACGGTTAAAAACAAAATTATGATATTTTTTTAGATTGCAGAAGGATTTGTATTATTAAAACCCAATTTACCCCCATATTACTTTTGCTCCAGTACAGATCTATTGTATAAGAGGCCAAAATAAGACGACTGTGTGCCGCCTGCATCTATTTTTAAAACATAGTCTGTATATAAATGAACATAACTAACCCTCTAGTGCCACGTTTGAAAAAAATATAAGTGTTCGTGGGGGCGCTTCCAGCTCCATTTACTGTTTCCAATTCACTTGAAATTGAAAATGTGTCACCCCTCTCTCTGTCACTGCTGCTGCGGGTTTATACACTCTGTTATAAAGCAGTTTCTTCTCCAAAAGCCAGGAAGTGCAATGTTAGCATGCTAGTTGTTGCAAACATTACAGTGACAACGAAACTCCACTCTGATGTCTGAAAGTTTTTAAATAGCTCATTGTGTTAGATTATGAAGAGTAGGGGTGGGATTAAATACATTTTCTTCTTCCCACTCCTTTTTGGGTAAAAAAAAAAAAAAAAGATAATAATAAATATATATATATATTTTTTTGTTATTTTCATTTCTATTATGATTTCATTTATGTTATGTTCCATTGTATATGAATGTAAATCTTTACTTGCCCAAAATAAATGCATAAATAAATAAAGTAATAAAAACTTTAGGAATACATTAGGAAAGTGAGGATTGAATGTCGAAATTAAGATGCCGGATTTTTTGGAATATAAGTCGCTCCGGAGTATAAAGTCGCACCAGCCAAAAAATGTGTAATGAAGAAGAAAAACATATATGAGTCACACTTTTTGGGGGAAATTTATTTTATAAAATCAGAGACCAGAAACCGACATTTCATCTTGAAAGGCAAGTTACAGTAATAACAATAGAACAGAGAACAACAGACTGTTAATGTCACATATGAACAGTTCTTCAGATCAATCAATCAATCAAACTGTATTTGTGAAAGCGCTTTTCATACAAAATACAACACAAAGCGCAGATAACTATAACATAAATGACAGAACAAGTTTACCAAACTCTCCATCTCACTCCAAATCACTAAATCCATTCAATTCTTCATCCTCGGTGTCACTTCTGAGCAACTCCACGACCTCCAGAGGTAAATGCCGCTTCCTCTTCTGTGTAGCTGTCGTCAGACTCAGCATCAGTTCCAGTTAGAATTATTCTGGCCTTTCTGAATCCCGACAGGATGGTTTTGGAGTCACTGAAGTCCAGGCTTTATCGATCCATCCAGTGACTTCCAAGAAAGTTTCATGGTGCATCCTCCCGGTGTCACAAGTTTCTCACTCACTCCAAACTTTCTTTCTGCTGCTCGATTACCATTTTGGCTGCATATTTCGCTACTCGCAGCTTGTAATCTGCAAAATATGATTTTCTTTTTGGGGGCATTTGTGTTCAGTCTTCTCAGTCGTCTTTATAAGTTTGTTTAAGTTTAAAATTTTCAGTGGTGCAGAAGTAATGGTGCGATCGACTGACATGATACAGACAGGACAGTGGCTCTTTCTGCAGGAGACATGCGCAGTAGAGTGAAGTGACAGTGGTACAGGAGGAACAGGAGCAGCAGATACTGACACACAAGACTAGAGCCTCTCGCAGCTGTCAGTATGAAAGTTTTAACATATAAGTCACACTTGAGTATAAGTCACAGGAAACACCCAAACCATGAAAAAAGTGCGACTTAAGCTGCGTTCAGACTGCAGCCTGAAGTGACCCAAATGCGATTTTTTGGCCCCTATGTGACCTGTATCTGATCTTTTAATGACAGTCTGAACGACACAGATCCGATTTTTTCAAATGTGACCCAGGACACTTGGATATGTGGTCCTAAAACCGATACATATCTGATCTCTTGACATGTGACTTCAGTCTGAACGGCCAAAGCGCATTCATTTGACCTACACTTTGTCAACAATCGACAAACGTCACTATTCTGCGCTGAAGTCGGCGAAAATTGTTAATAAACTCCATGTCACTGAAGTGAAGCACATCACCACTCACCACTCTTGGCTCCGTCTGCACACCCACACGTTCCTTTCAACAGACGTCGCTGCCACTGCCCCACGAAACGCCACGGCCAAAAACCTCGTCCTTCTCAATCTCCTTAAAACAAGAAAGTTGTTCATGTTCTGGCTCCGGTACGAGAGGAACTTTAAAATCCCCAGGTGCTCAATGCTCGCGTTCATGTTTGGACAACTTCCGTAAACACAGAGCACGCTCGCTGCGGTTGACGTCGTCGTGTCTCCAGTGCACATGTGGGACACTTTCGGGCCATTTACTGTTCACACTGGAGATCACGCACAAGTCGCATTTAATTGGAAATGTGAACGACCTCGCAAAAACATCGGATTTCACAAAAAAATCGGAATTGAGCGTTGAGCCCTGCAGTCTGAACGTAGCCTTAAAGTCCAAAAAATACGATAATTATTTTTCATAGGATCGTCGAAATCAGCCACAGCTCCTTTAACAAAAAAACACCGTATCAATCCAGTATATAAATCTTTCTTCCCTGCCTGTAAGCACCAGAAGAGCCATGTTCCAGGTTAAAAATGAAAAAAATGAAAGCACTGCATCACCGGGTATCAGGTGTGGTCTGTGATGGGGCGAGCAGCGGGAGGAATGAAGCGCAGATTGGGCTGATATTGGCCTTTTTTATGTGTCACACGCACAGACAGACAGACTCACATGCTATAGACCGCTCCTGCACTGGCACATACGGACGCGGTGGAGGGGCTGTCTGTCAAACTGTCACGACCAGGACTCCAGAAATCAATAATCCACAGGGAGACGAGCCAGAAACATCAGCTACACTCACCTGAGAAAGGGGGACAAGAGCTTTATTATGTGGTCAGGAAAAGGTCAACCATCTGTCCAAGTTCTAAATATAGGACCTGGCAATTCATCGAAATGTAATCGAGATTCAGTCATTTCTAATTGTCAGAGATCGGCTCGGGTCTTTAATGGGTCTAGAGTGGGTCTCTGTCAGGAAAAGCATGTGATTTAGAGCAGAGTTCAGACTTTGGAGGAAGAAATTTGTTCTTTGTGTTGAGTCTGCGTCGTTCAGGAGATTAATATTGAAACAGATTTATATGTCAAAGCAATTTCATCATTTTTACATTATATTACCGGTACTATTAAATTATTATTAATAATGTAAGGTGCATGTGTAAAATTTCTAGTGGAGGGTCCGCCACCTGAAGTCTCCATGGAAATGTTGTAGATTTGTCGAAAATGTTCCATATTGTAGATTAAAATGTATCTATCATGAGGGACACAAGCAGGTTACACCACCACGCTACATTATGGTTCAGATCTGTGGAGAGTCTCCCCTATCCTCAGAAGGAAATAATGAATTTTTCATCTATAGAAACTTCCATAATCAGGGGTCATCAAACTAAGGCCCGCGGGCTGACTCCGGCCCACCATACTTCTTTGACCGGCCCCCCAGCCCCTCTGCCCCCCACCACTTGAACGGCCCTATGAGGCAATCCTTAAAAGTTGTCATGTCCTATTTTTTTTTATTACTTTTTGTATTTTGTAGATTTTTTTTCAATCAAAAATGATATTTATATTAAGTTTTTATATTTAAATAATTGGTAACACTTTATAATAACTACACCTTATTTAGCCTTAATAAAGCATGAACAAAGGCTTAATTAATAATGAACAAAGACTTAATTAATAATGATTCACTCTTAGTAACTACTTAATTACTACCTTATTTAGCACTTGCACTTAATTTGCCTGCTCTGTAAATAGTTACTCATAATTATTTCATACTTAATTAATCATGAACTAACCATTTGAGCATTTATTAATCATTAGTAAACTATAAGAGAATGATTTACTAATAATACAATGCAATGATAATTCAGGCAGCTGTTCTCTGTTAGTTAAGTGTTTCTGTGAGCTTTTCTACAGTGAAGATGAATTATGCTTTATTAATCTTTGTTCATGCTTTATTAAGGTTACGTAAGGTGTAGTTATTATAAAGTGTTACCAAATAATTATATGACATATTTACATTTGCTGCCGAATTTTCGTCACCTGACAAGCCCAAATCCCAAACAGCCCAAACAGCGACAGTCAACACACGAGCAGAATCCTGTAGGGCAGTTAAGAACTAGTTAGGGGCACTAGTAATGATAAACAAATAATTGCCAGGAATTGTGTGTTGACATAGTATTGTGGATGGCTGTGCCAGGCTAGTCGTTTCTACTACACAATGAAACCTGCCAGTGGTCATTTTGGTCTGGGTCATACAATTCTGTTATACGGCCGACCCCCCCCCCCATCACAGTCAGGAGTGTTAACGTGGCCCCCAGAGAAAAAAGTTTTGTGACCCCAGCCCATAATGAATATATGCTAGATGGATATGTTTAAGAGCATACAATGGAACATTCTGGGATAAGAAATGACATCTCCATGAAGTATGTGGTGGATCCTCTACCAGAAAAGTTGCGCAGTGCACCTTTAATAATAATAATTTAATAATAGAATCATATGCCCCTTTTTGCAGTATTCTGATCACATTTTTGTGTGCCTCAGGTTTACAGGTGGTGTTGAACTCCATCATCAAAGCCATGGTGCCACTGCTGCACATCGCTCTGCTCGTCCTCTTCGTCATCATCATCTACGCCATCATCGGCCTCGAGCTCTTCATGGGCAAGATGCACAAGACCTGCGTTTACAGCCACACAGGTATTTTAATGACATAACGCTCTTACTTTTACTGTAAGTTTACAAAGACATACAGGTACATGAGTACAGTTCCATTTGCTATATATATTCTATTTTGTTTCTTTGTTTGTTTGTTTTTTTCCCCTTAAGATTTAGTTCATTGTACTCGTCAAGTTCAACAGTATTAGGATTTACAGCTTACTTTTATAAACTCTTATAATTTGACTCGGTGTTGAATATCGGCACCGATCCAGGACATTAGCTGGATCAGGTATCAGTTTCGCTCATATCCTGGTTTGTCTTGAGTTTTTTGGGATGTAATGAGACTATTTACTGGCAGATATTGGTATAGAAAACGTTTCATACTGTTTGAACTTGTATTCATATAAAGCTGCTGATAAATAACACAATTTGATCAAGATGATTTGATTTGATCATTAAGTTTACAGGAAGGTTCACAGAGACACAGGTACAATAATGTTATTAAGTTTAGAGTAAGTTTACAGAGACACAGGTTAAAAAATGTTATTAGGTTTACAGCAAGTTTACAGCTACACAGGCACAATAATGTTATGAAATTTACATAAAGTTTACACAGATACACAGGTACAGTAATGTTATGAAGTTTACAGTAAGTTTACAGCTACACAGGTATACGAATATTTTTATGTTTACAATAATTTTACAGCTACATTGGTACAATAATGTTATGATGTTTATAGTAAGTTTACAGAGACACAGGGACAGTAATGTAATGAAGTTTACGTTACGTTTACAACTACACAGGTACAATAATGTTGTGAAGTTTACAGTAAATTTACAGAGACACAGGTATAATAATGTTATATATGTTTACAGTAAGTTTAAAGCTACACAGGTATAATAATGTTATGAAGTTTACAATAGGTGTACAGCTACATAGATTCAATAATGTTTTGAAGTTTACAAAGATTTAAGTATAATCATGTTATTAAGTTTACAGTAAGTTTACACAGACAGGTACAATAATGTTATTAAGTTTTTAGAGACACACAGGTGCAATAATGTTATGAAGTTTACAGTAAGTTTACAGAGATACAGGTATAATAATGTTATATATGTTTACAATAAGTTTAAAGCTACACAGGTATAATAATGTTATGAAGTTTCCAGTAAATTTACAGAGACACAGGTACAGTAATGTTACGAAGTTACATTAAGTTTACAGAGACACAGGTACAGTAATGTTACGAAGTTACATTAAGTTTACAGAGACACAGGTACAATAATGTTTTGTTTAGGGTTACAACGAGGGTTAGGTTAGGGTTATGTTTGTAGTTAGACCTAATGTTAAGCACTGGGCTAGAGTCTCAACAGTTTTTATGATGTGTAGGTTCAATAATGTTTTGAAGTTTACAGAGATTCAAGTATGATCATGTTATTAAGTTTACAGTAAGTTTACACAGACAGGTGCAATAATGTTATTAAGTTTTTAGAGACACACAGGTGCAATAATGTTATGAAGTTTACAGTAAGTTTACAGAGAAAAAAGTACAATAATGTTATTAACTTTACAGTAAGTTTACACAGACATAGGTACAATCATTTTATTGAGTTTACAGTAAGTTTAAAGCTACACATGTACAATAATGCTATAAAGTTTACAGTAAGTTTACAGAAACACAGGTACACAAGCACAGTTCCATTTGCTATATATATTCTATTTTGTTTAGTTTTTTCTTAATTTGATCAATTTAAGTTTACTGTACGTTTACAGAGACACAGGTACAGTAATGTTATTAAGTTTACAGTAAGTTTACAGAGATACAAGTACAATAATGTTACTAAGTTTACATTTACAGCAAGTTTACAAACATGTACAGACAAATATGAGTGATAAAGTTTACAATAAGTTTACAGGTACAATAATATAGTATATATTATAATTACAAATGGCAAATAAACTACCCTAAAATAATATTATGACCTTTATAGAGTAAGTTTACAGCCACACACGTATACAAATATTATTATGTGTACCAAACATTCACAATCACCACACAGTTGTATTATTTTAGACACTAATGTTTTTCTAATGTGTGTTTTTTTTTTTGTTTTTACAAATGGCAAATAAACAAACCTTAATTAACCTAATATCATCAAGTTTGCCATAAATTTACAGTCACAGTAACCTCTTCAGCAAGATATTTGTAAGTTCACAATTTGTAAGTTCATGCTGTTGTGATTGTCTGGTTAACAAGTGGTTCAGATCAATCAATAAGCGGCCTTGTGGTGTGGGCAGAAGTCAAAGGTGAAGCTCCCAAACAAACCAAAACAAACATGGCGACAGGGATGCACATACTCCAGCCTATATAGCAGAAATACAGAATATTTTGTTCGTGGAAAACGCGCAGAGGGAAACTCTTTGTGCATTTATAGAGGGGGAAAGATAAAAGTTTGGTTTCTCATGCTGTTCTGCTTTTGTTACGCTATGACCAATCAGATTCAAATATTTGTCTGGATTGCTTTCCGCGAGTGTTCGTCCAGATTGAAAAATGTGCAGAACTCAATTTCAGAGTGAGACGCATATCGGTCTGAAGTTTGCAAGGTCACAGCCACACAGGTATGGATACAAGAAGTTTAGTTTGCACAGTAAGTTTACAGCAACAACGGTGAGAACAAAGAATTTTAAATCATTTTACTTTCAACGTAGCAAAAACATCTTACCGTAAATTCCGGACTATAAGCCACTACTTTTGTCTCACACTTGGAACACTGTGGCAAATAAAGCGATGCGGCGAAAATAAGGACAGATTATTTGTTTGGCACATTGTCCATTCATATATACGGTCTATGGTTTGGCAACACAGCGGATACACGCAGCCTGAGAGCAGAAAGCGCCGCTGTCTGTGCGGTTACACATGGATGTAGAGTTAATATGAAGTTGCAGTGTGCTATCAATATTGTCAGTGCACTCAGACATTTTATCGCTGTGTAGTAAAATAAGTTATGATGCTAAATGATCATTAGTGAGGGGGATACGTCTTACCCGTCTGTGTAAATGACGAACGAAAAGAAACATCTCAAACTTCAGTAGCCGGACATCCACTCATACCTGATCGATAGAACTAACCCCATCCCCGAGAGAGTCTGAAATCTGCTGAAATCCTCCAAGACACTGACATGATACAGACAGGACAGAAGCTCTTTCTGCAGGAGACATGCGCGGGGAGAGATGAGGTGATGCGCCGAGGAAGATGCACACACACTCCTCACGGAAAACACGCGAAGAAATGCAAATGATGCAGTTTTTAAGTTAAAGTCAATGTGACTGTGGAAAAGGAAATCGAGCTGCTGCATGTGAGCTCAGCATGAGTTGTTGATGGTGAGATTTTGGTGACGGCAGCGCGATGAACTGACTCGATCCAAAAAGACGACAAAAGCTTTCAGAGGCGATAAAAGCAGACGGCCCGAACTTGAAAACGTTCTTGAAGACGTGGGCACCTGTGGCTTATATTCAGGCGCAGCTTATATATGTACAATTTTAAATTTAGTTAAAATTTTGTTGATGCAGCTTAAATGTCTTTATTATTTATATAGCGCTTTTCACAGACATTTTTGTCATGAAGACGCTTTACAGAGCATTATTCAGCATTATTCATTCACTCTATACCTGGTGATCATAAGCTACTATTGTAGCCACAGCTGCCCTGGGGCACACTGACAGAAGCGCGGCTGAAATGCCAATCGGCGCCATCCGTCCCTCCAACCACCACCATCACTCACACACACAACACTTTCATACTAGACAATGTGGGTGAAGTGTCTTGCCTAAGGACACAACAACGATTGAATTGATTGTATTTAACTGACCTTGACTATCAACTGTTCTTGGAGACCTGGAGCATGTTTTGTGTTGATGGGGGAAACCGGAGCCTCCGGAGGAAACCCATCCAGACACGAGGAGAAACATGCAAACTCCACACAGAAAGGATTTGTTTTAAAATGGTTTCTGTGTACTTAAAGATGCATTGTGCAACTTTTCTGGTGGAGGGTCCATCACCTGCTTGTAATATGGTATTAGACTTGGCTGTTTCCATAAAAAACAAGCATGTGACATCACCAAGCTAAGTTACAAGCCAGCTCTATGGAAAGGTGACCCCACTTACAGTAAAAGGAATGCATTTTTGAGCAATAAAAACAACTTTAATTGAATGAATTCAAGATGAATACATTTAATAGCATACTGGTGAATATTCCAGACAAAGCAATAACATCTACAGAAAGTCTATACTTACATTATACTATAGTTTAATTTATCCCTATCTGTCATATTGTTATATAGTCTGGGAAAGCACTTTCTCTACTACTCTGAACAAAATATTATCGGTGCAAAAACTTACATCGTCTGCTCATTTATTCACCAGACTTAACATCTTAATATTTATTTAGATTAATATTTATCAGATTTGCATTTTTATGTATAAAATTCTTTATAATTCAACAGCGATCCCCAAACATTTCACATTTTATTTTAAACCCAATGCATAAATTCATTGATACAAAACTCGTCAAATTCATAATTTTCATGTTCCAAAATTTGTCAGTTTTGCCGACGATACAGAGGCTGTAAATTCTGGAGCCAGTTTTCACATCTGGTTAGTGACAGCAGATCAGATCAGAGTTTAAAAAGAGTTTGAGGAAATGTTTGATATTTCATGCTAATGAAGGCGAAGGCGATGGGCAGGATTGATCCACAGGAAGGGCGAAAAAGGAAACTTTGACTGCCTAAATCATCCCGAGTTTGCAGTGAACATTTTGTATGTGAAGCGCCATCAAAGCAAAATCCCGATCCCTCGCTCAACCTCGGTCACGAATTTAAAAAGTCAACGCCAAAGCGAAACGCACCAGCTGTTCACCAAAAAACACCTTCCGCTGCAAAACAACCAAATCGTGATGTTGCTGTAAAACCACAAGAACAAGAAAGTGCAGCTCAGTCTGTTTGTCTTCTGCACCTCTCACTTAACAAACGGGATCCTGCT